CGTTCAATTATTCCGTTTTTCTCGTACTCTGTAAAGATCGTATCATACTCCCTGAGAATTCCTTTGGATGTTAAACGCCGTTTTAGACATGTTAAACGCCCTTCACATACACTAAAGTTGTCTGGCAGCTGCTCATGGTCTGGCTTAAAAGGTAATTTCGTTACATATCGGGTCCCGTCGTGCCCTATGTCATTTTCAAACTGACTGACCACACAGTCACTGGAGGAGCCTATAGTCTCCACGGACCAAAATTTATCTAAAACTTGTCGTAAAGCGTCTGATGTTTCTTTACATTCAACTGAGGCACGTAGGATATGGGTCTCGAAACAATGCAGGTCAGGAGGACCTGTCCCAATTTTGCCACTTACTACCCATCCCACCTTAGTTCCGCATGCTACTGGACCCGCCTTACTTCGCACAACCTTTCCTGTCATAAACGTGTGGTAATAATCTACCCCGATTAAAATTCCTACTGGGAGGTTTGGAGAATCGCCTTCATGGTCAGCCAATTCCAAGTCCTCAAATTCTTCCAAATCATGCGTTTTTGAGATATATTGATTAGTAAGAGGGCTGCAAATTGTGGGAACACATAAAACCTCAACACTGGTGCACCTAGAATCAGATTTATTCTTAACTTTGACCTGAACGACATCTAGTCTCTTAACCTTGCTATCATTGTCCTGACCAAAGGTCTTAATTATGACCTTTTCTGACCTGATCGACTTTAACTGCAACCTAGCTCTAACCTTATCCGAAATGTAAGACCGCTGGCTTCCACTATCAAACAAAATCCTGGTAGCTACTTGAGTACCAATATTCTCCTCATCATAGACCTGTACTCTAGCTGTTTGTAATAATATTCCCTGCTGGTCACAGCCAGTATGACCTACAAATTCCCTACTCTCCTCATCCTTTTTGCTCCCATTCTCCTTACTTCCATTTCGTCTGCCCGAAGCTGCCTCACAAATGGAAATGTGGTGTTTACCCTTGTTGCACCGCTTACAAACATAAGTTGCCGTACAATTTTTTGCTATATGTCTCGAATCTAAACAAATAAAACATCTCCCTTTTTTCCGTAATATGTCTTTCCGAGAATGGTGATTCGAGACCTTACTACACCTAGATGGAAGATGTCCCCCCTCATTACAATATATACAGGGGGTTTTACTAGTTTGACTGAATAATCCACTTGCTGTATAGGGTTCCCTTTTCCTGAAATTGTCAGATCTACCATCTGATTTATTACTCAATGAGAAATTACAATCTTCTTGAGCACGAAGCTCATTGTTAAAAAATTCCATAACCTTATCTAAGTTCCATACTTTACCACAAAACTGTCTCGAAATAATCATATTAATCTCATCGGGCAAGCGGTCCTTTAAAATTGGAATGAGAAGAGAGCCATACCCACTGGTGTCAAGCTTAAGAGATTTCAAGTTCCTCATACAGTTTTCAACATGACTGTACAACATCCTTAACCCCTTAATGTTATCAACTGACTTAATTTTATTAATTTTAAGTAGAGACTCCATATGTGCAGAAATGAGCACCTGCTCATTCCCAAATCTATCCTTTAAAACCTGAACTGCCTCCTGATAATTATCTGAAGTTAAAGTCAACCCTGAAATAGCCGCAAGAGCTTCCCCTTTCACACAACCTTTTAAATAATTGAATTTATCAATATCACTTATGTTTATATTACTGTGGATCGACACTTGATACTGATCCCAGAACCCCTGCCAATCTAAGGGTTCCCCCGTAAACTCTGGTAATGCTAATTTTGGCAGCTTACAATGCGCAGGACTTCTATTTGTGCTTAAACCGGCTGCACCTAAGGAATAACTTGCGCTATTAATATTACTTTGCCCTTGCTTAATTTCTTCAAGTTTCAAATCCGCCTTTGCCAAAACTTGGTGACAAGGTTCTAAAGCTTTCATGTGACGAATAATTTCCGGCTCAATGTCCTTTGGATCTATCAAGGATAATATTTCATTGTGCACAGTCGCCAATTGTTCGATGATACTAGCCACATTGTTTCTCAACCCAAGGAGTTTAGATTGCTCGCAATCACCGCTTTCCGAAGAAACATACTCGTTTAATTCACTTAAAAGAGTTTTCAAATACGCGCCGAGACCAAGGTGTCTGCCTTTAGCCCTTGCTAATTTTTCCTCCATGACAAATATGAAATATGAGATACCGACTACACAATACACACTGTGGACGCGTTTTTACAATACAACGCTACGTATGACAATTAGACACAAAAAATATATAGAATTTCTAATCTTTACTATATCATAAAACATATACACTTCAGAACAATGCACAACCCCAAAGGGATCTCTCAAAAGGAAAGAATTTACCTCTAACCACGATATCGACCAACCGACACGCTCGCGAATGACTCACAGACTCGTGTTCACTGTAACACTGTCGTCGACTTAAACGCACAATTATTGATACCTCGTATTCCGTATGATGTTCTGCCGTGTCCCCTATCGGGCTCCATGTAAAAAGCACTCTCACACTTGCTTTTTATATAGTTATTTTAATATAAATAACGCAACATAAATTTACATGTTGTCCGTTTTATCCCAACTAACTTCCGATTGCCCTACACGTGTCTTTTTAATCGTCTCACCACGTGACAGCTCACGTGACAGCTCACGTGATTATAACAGAACCAATAATGTTATTAAAAGTAAATAAATGTGTAATGTAAAACGTCATGCACTAGATTAATGTTTTCTACACTAGTTATCCACAATCAGAGGATACTTAGTCAGTTCAGTACGTAAATGCGGGTCATTTTCAGTGACCTTATTGAAGGCAAAGATAAATCAGGTAAACATTTAAATAAACATGCCATGGTTTGATTTATGTATAGCCGTCAAGAACAGAAAACTAAAGCTAACAGACAAACTACTTGTTACAATGTTGTTCAAAAGTCTATTTGTGCTGGCTATTCTTGCTCTCAGTTGCTCTACAACAGTCTTGCGAGGTATGAGTGCATCATTATAGCAGTGATCAATTCCTCTGAATATACTTTAATAAATCAGAATAGGAATTGTCGTAAGCTATATCGATATTTGGTTTCCTGCATGACTAACACATTCTCATTTCATATAGTTGATGATGATAATACCTTTCGGATCAAATCAGGGCAATATGGCTACGTGCATCATTATGGGTTTTTTGACAACCTCGACCTCCTTAATTTCTCACTTACCCAACAGCCAGCTCACTTTCGTTTCACAAGTAAAAATGTCCTACAAGAGATCGCAACTAACAAATGTGTCAATACACTGACACCTACCGACCGACGGCTCATACTTACTGCCAACTGCAATGAAGGTGACGTATGGGCTTATAACTCTACTGCGCAACTTTTACAGGATTTAACAGCGTCTGCGTTACCACCCTATGAATGTTTTAGCCCATGGGCCAATCGCCTGCCACCATACGATATTCATATTCTGACTGGTTTGTCGCCATGTGATGGCTGGAACCGTATCATCTTGGAAGCAGGTGGGTATACTTTTCCTGACTTTTCTTTGAATAAATCAGTTTATCACCAACACATTTAATCTATACGGTATATGGCCAAATCATAAAAAGTGTTTGTATATGTAGTCCATTAGTCTCGCTACGTGACTTTCCAGCCGAATGATGTCCCAAGGATTAGGATTAAGGTTGGATTAAGTGGGTTAGTATTAGGATGGGGACTGAGTATAAGATTACTCAGATTAGGATTGTATTCATAGTAAAGTACACATGGCACGAAATTATCCCCTCCTCCGACAATTTTTATTACTTCAAAGTACCTTGAAAAAATGAAGAATGGCCTTAACAGTTTAGCACAGCTCATCTCGTTTCCAAGTTATTATTGGCATTTTGTCTTATGCATGGCGTCACTGATTGTGGTTAATTGTGCTTAATTTAAAATCGCGGCGAAAAGAAGAAAGTAGTTAGTATTAAGCGCACCTATAGCCTGGTTTCCATATTTGGTCGTAAAAATAGAGTCACGATCAATAAACTATTATAAACGGCCAGTTTGTAATAGCCATGTATACCTGTAAACCACATATAAATTATAAATAGTTTAAAATCACTCCGCATATTTTCAATTTTACAATGTTGTATTTTGGCTGATGAGAAAGATCGTGACTCAATCCGTTACGACCTTATGGAAATCAGGCTAAAGCAAATATTTTGGAACGTTTATGTGGTAGCCAACAAACTAGTTTCTGTTAGTAGTTCTTTCAGTGTACTAGGTTTCGTGCACCAGCCGAATTTTATGTTCAGGACCGTACGCACTGCCGGATATTTTCACCATGCAGGACAGGCAGTAAGAGCTATATATGCCGAAGAAAGTCCCAAACACCCAAAGAATAATGAAATTAATAAGTCATTTCTAAAAATCGTAAATATAGTTTTCTCTAGGGGAGCAGTTGCCCCCCTGACCCCCCCCGCTGTGTACGGCCCTGTTTGTGTTCCATGCATATTTCGTGCCATGCACAATTTTTGTCATATCACTCTAAGTTGAGGTTGCTAATATGGAAATTGACCCTCATAACGTACACTCTATATAAATATCAATTTTTTCTTATTTAGACCCTAGCCCGCAAGCCAAAGAAGAAGTATACAACTAACACTAATAGAGTAAAACCACTATATTAGATCAGTGATAGACTTCCCGCGCGTTCAATCTTAGTCCGGGAAACAATAAAACGAAGGAAAATAGAGGGATTGCTCGCAGTCTAGATCAGTGACCAAAACAAAGATATGTCTGCATGAGCTCATTAATTAAGTTAGTCAAATGTATTATGTATATCATTTTGAAAATAAAATATTAAATGCAAATTCTGATACCAAATTCATCTATTCGGATTGTTTTGAGGGGGCGGGGTGGTCAGAGCGCTTGAATCTTTCTTTAATCATTAAAACAGACCTGGAACGTTAACTTCCTTCTGACATTTGAAGGCAAAGTTTTAATTAACTGAATTAGTTTCGTTAACGAATATAACGGGGTGCAGTATAAAACATTTTCCCAAAAAACGTGTGTGTGTGATATAATTTGGGCATGGGATTCGAGATTCGAATGCTCTCTTATAGCTATCGCCTATATTTGTTTTCCATTCCTAACGTATCATCACACATTTAATTGTTTTGAGATAGCAACAGCAGAATTAATGTCATTGACAGTACACAAAGAACTGTACAGTATGCTTAGGCATGCTCTGACGATGTGGTATAATGGTAACCGAACAATTAAGTTCATAAAGTACCCATGCACTGTTGGAAACTGAAAGACTGCGCTTTAAAACGAAAGTTTTACTTTATTAATATTATTCGTTTCGAAATTTACATTTGCATTGAGGACTCAATGAATTCTGTAAGTTTTCATTCGAGCTCTGATTTGTTAAAACCATGCAGTCACTATTTCCTATTTTGTCGTTGATCGTCATTGATAAATTGTATTTAGCGTCATCCCGAGTGTCCCACGCAACCGCACCCGATCTAAAGTCTTGCACATAGGTGTAACACCGACAGAATTTACGTGCGTTTCCACTACGTCGCTACAGTTTGTTTACAAATTAAATTGGCATGCACTCATGCAACCAAATACTTGAAATTGAGCAAAGAAATTTGAACAAAAAGCATCCGAATTTAATGTTTCGAGATCTCAGATGCTTGTTTGCAAGCGGTACAAAAAGTAACGGCGTTTGTGTTCACATGAAGTCTCCAAGCGCTCCATTTTCATCTCGCTCCGTTTAGAAATCGCGTGCTCAAATTGTTATGGCAAAAGTGACGTTTTTAAACAATTTCGCTCCGGCGTAGTGGCCGTTTCCAAACCACTCCGGCGTAGTGGCCGTTTTCAAACTACTCCGGCGTAGTGGCCGTTTTCAAACCACCCCGGCGTAGTGGCCGTTTTCAACTAACCACTCCGGCGTAGTGGCCGTTTTCAAACCACTCCGACCTAGTGGCCGTTTTCAAACCACTCCGGCCTAGTGGCCGTTTTCAAACCACTCCGGCCTAGTGGCCGTTTTCAATTTTCAAACCACTCCGGCGTGGTGTGAACGTAGTCCAAGGCGTCCTCGTCCGGGGAAAAGTTATGAAAATAACAAGCTTCAGAAATTTCCTGCATTTTGATTTTTGGGTTGACAACTTTACAAAGTCTACAAACTGTGGCAATACTTTTTCCCCAAGACATTTCGTCGTCAGTAAATTATAAGCGTGCAAAACACTCTTATATATTATACGTTTACAGGTTTTGTCGAATGCGGGCAGGCGAATGGTTATGAAAAATATATTTTCATTTGATGATGTAATCAGCTGACGTTTACCTCTGGAGTCATGAGACGTCGTGAGACTGTGGTTTCATATTTGTATTATATTTATAACGTATCTGACGTCACTATGCAATGACAGGACAAAAACATCTTGGACAAATAAGGACATCACACCGACAATTTTTGAATGACAAGTGCCGGACGGATTTGAAGATTCGTTAAAAAACGTTCAAGTGTCTGAATATTTGAATACTGAATTAAATATATACAAATCACATTTTTAAATCTTTGAAAATAGTATGTTGAATATTTTACAATTTCTGCCCATCAACGTGTTCACTGTTAGTAAATCTCACAGTACATGATACTGGCAGAGGCAGGTCGTACATACGTTGTCCGCTCAAACCGTAATCCCAGTATGTTATACTAATCCCGGTATTGTTATCGACATATTACTGTAAGTTTCACAAGCTGAGAATAAGATAAAACTGATAACTGTATTTCAGTTTTAGCAGAAAATCTTAACCATGGCCCACATTTATTGTACCCACAATGAAGAAAACAAAGGTTTGAAAATTAATTTCAAGACTTCATACATTAAACTTCATATATTTTCGAGACTTCATATATTAGACATATTAGAATTTATATATTACTTTAAAACTCGTTTGGGCCTGATTAATTCAGAGGCCTGATAAATTCACAGGCCTAATAAAAACGGACCTGATAAATTCAGAGGCCCAGTAATAAAAAGGGTCATATTCGTTGACTGGTATGGTTATTTTCACTTTTCTTGAAAACATTTTTTACGTATACTTTGATTTAAAATGATAGGCGTATTAGCCTTTAATAAATAGGTATAAAGCAAGGTATATGCTTCGGTGAAGATCCATGAACGTGCACGTAGCATCATTGTGATCTGAATTAAAATGGCGGCCAAAGTTCAAAAGTTTGGTTTAGGCTTTCGAGCAAATGATTTTCAATATCTTTTCGTTTTATCTCGGAAGTATAGAGCCGCACAACTTCCTTCTTTGAAAACATTAAGTGCAATATTTTTCAGTGTACAAACGAAATCGATTATGAATGTGATAATCAGATATGAACCAATAAGTAAATAAAAAGAGATACATGAACAAATACAAACATAATTTATACAGTGATAAAGAACTAGAGATACATCGTCGCCGACCCTATTTCCTT